AAAAATTTCTTGTGTTCATATGTGCACAAATTTTTTTTTGCAGATCATAAGATCGACGAATTTCCAACACTGCTTTTAATAACTGCAATTCTGTCAGCCAAATCACTATATTTCCAATCGGTATCAGTAATAATTAGTATTTAGACTTGCCTCTCATTCAAATGGACAAACATTATTTACTAATTTGGCACCTATTCAAAACTATGGACACAATAATCTTTATCAAAGTGTTGATTCTATTAATTCCACTCATGCAAATTCTGCATATGATAATTTCATTCAATAAAGCTTTTTTAATGACAATTCTGTCTGTCAATTTTCAACAAGTATATCAATAATAACAACATCATTCACCAGAACACTTTAACAATATGAACATTACGCATCAAAGATCTCAAAATTCTAATAATAATCAAATGTCCAAATAGTAATTAGCCGTTAGCAGCTTCTAGATATTGTTACTCGACTGTCCGAGCTATTATAAATCTATTAGTAATTTTTAATAATTTTATTTATTTTTGTATTAACAAATTATTATCGTGATATCGACGTGATATTTTTGCTCAACTTATAATTAGACTTTCCAAGAATTAACTCGTAACGATATTACCGTACCAAAATTGAGTTTTTTTGCAAAATATATGGTAGTATTAATATCATAGTGATTGTAACTGGTGAGAATTTAGACCTGTCTACTTAGCATTAATATAATGAGATGCAAGGCTAAATATTTACTTTATATGTCAAACATACAAATTTATACCTGGCTTTTACTAGATAAATTCTCATATAATGAATTCATATTTTATGTAACCTATTCGACTGGTTTTTAATTCAAGTCTCGTTATAATTTGACAGTAAAGAAGACGGAAATGATTTTTAAAATTACAAAATATATAAATTCCATAATAATTATATAAATTTCTTTAACCGGAGAATCAATTAGCTTCATTTTTTTATATTTTATTGTTTTATGAATAGATCAGCGTTTCGAAAAGTGACCCACTTAGAAAAGCGGCGCAGCCTTTTCGTTGTGGTTATCTGTGGCTCTAGAAAAACCATATGCGCTGGTTTTGACGGGCTGTTGAATAATAAAATAGTTTTTTTAGCGGAGAAAATAATTTTTTAGAGTTAATTATCATTCCATTGACCAGTCAGTTTACACAGTAAAAATATTCATGTAAAAATGCTCGCGTTTAACTTCGATATAAGGTTTGAAAAGACTAAATTGGCTGATATATACTGATTTTTACTTTTGAAGCCACCAATCTTTATTTCTAACATCTTTTTTAAAAAAAAGAATCGTATAATAGTCTATTGATACAAATTCTGAATTTTGTTGCGAGTTTAACTTGATTTTTTTGTATAAATTGACAAGTATTTGCATTTATCCTTTATTTCTCGAAAATTATAATTAAAAATAAAATATCTTTGATACATTTGCATCATATTAATAATATATCAAAAAAAACACGTCTACAAAAACAATAAAACTTTATCCTATTAAATTACATTTAAAAATACACCACCGTATTTCACCGGAAATAAGCAACGTTTTTTAATGTGAATCCATTTTATTTTCAATAAAGAGAAAATTCACGTTAGTCTTCATTCGATAAAAACTGGGAAAAGGCTAAAAGCATATCAGAATTTTGATAATAAATTGTCAAAATCAATCAATCAGATTTTCAATATGTTTGCTGGTGGTAGTCAACTGTTTCTAAATTATCAACTAATTTTCTTTGTAATTTGGCTAATTTGGTATCTTTATTATAATAATTTTTTTCCATATATTTTTTTAATAATAATTCTTTGATCTTCCTCTTTGCTAACATTGTAATGTAAACCATTGTGAAAATGTTGACAGGTATCACCATAAATTTGTCTTGGGTTAATAGATGTCATAATTTACAAAGGGACCTCCAAGGAAATCTCCATGAATTGATTTAGAAACAAATGTTTCTGATTACAAGTGATTGGGTTATTCCATTGATATTTCTTCCAGGACTTTGTAATCAATAAACTTTAGCATAATTCTCCAGAAAACTCATTACGACTTCAGCAACATTTTTATCCATTACCCTCTTGGTTTCTCATAGAAGCATTCTACTTTTTGCTAGAAAATTATTGTTATTAAGCGACTTCAGATACTTTCAAAAGTGCTTGATAATACATTGTCATTAAAAACATGTGTTATTCTGATTTAGAGAGAATTGATTGGATTCATGTATTCCTGCAAATTCATCCTTTGAACCATTGACGAATAGCCACAATTACAACCCATTCGAAAAATTTTGCTGCTTAGTAATATCCATAAATTAATTATC